TGGCCCCGTCCTGCAGCTCGGCTATACCAAAGCCATGGCAGATGTTCAGTCCCTGAACTTGCCGGGCTTCGACCTCGGCAGATGGCCGGACTACAACCCTCAGGCCGTCCATCAAATTGACAGGCTTGTTGAAGGCTACTCCATGGCGCGACCTGGCTGCCTTGGTTGCCGACCCCACTCTTCCTGCTACCTCCCCTGAGCAAGAACAACAAGGGGAAAACTAGAAAGATAGCATTTTGGATAGGCTGATTAGGCTAGAGTAGGACCCGAGTTGGCCAGCTCGTTTTTGTATGGCCCCCCTTATGTACGCCCTTTTGAAATGGAATAGATAGCCTCCTTTCTTACCCAATACTTGTAAAAATTTTCACTCGCTCAAAATTTGAATACATTACAATCCTCAGTACTGAACTAATGAAGCGAAGAAAAAACCTGTCCAGCTGACTACTTCAGCTCAGGCAGGCTATTAAAGAAAAGGCCTCAAACTTGAGCTGTGCCAAAACAAGCCGAGCTAAAATGAAGTGAACTAATAAAGTGAGCTAACAAAACACAGAGCAGACCTGTCCAGCTGACCACTTCAGCTCGGGCAGGATACTACAGGACAAGCCTTAGATTCGAGTTGTGCAGGTACGTGGGACTTTGCTTCCATCCAGGCGAGCTAGCTTACAATAAACTGCCCGGTCAGCTTCTTTTACCACGTAGGGACTTCCCAGTTTGGGTCTAACTTGCCCGTGCCACAGCTCGGCTAACGGAGTTCTTGCGTAATACCAGGTCCCCTGTCTTGAAAAGAAAGGTGTCTCACCTTGGAATTGTAGTAGCGTGCGACCTGGCCCTTATACTTAGCCATTCTTATAGCCGCTTTTCCCTTCGATGCTCGAGTAGGTCCAGGCCAAGCCGCATTTCCTCCTCATTATCCTGCAGCACAAAGTGTTGCACCCTACCCGAGGGCACTCCAATTTCCGCTGGGATTACCGCTTCGACCCCATATGTCAGGACGAACGGGGTTTCCTCAGTGTGCTGTCCGAGGTGTTGTACGGTAGCCCATAGTATGGTAGGCAGCTCCTCCAGCCAATTAGTTCGGGCAGACTCTACTCTTGTCTTCAGGCCGTGCAGAATGGTTCTGTTGACATTCTCGACTTGCCCATTGGCCTGGGGGTGCCCTACCGATGAAGTGCTACTGGATGCGAGCTCCGTGCACCACTCCTGGAAAGAGTGGTCGCCGCGAACTGCCTACCGTTGTCCGAGACAAGAGCCCTTGGTATGCCAATCGGCAGACTATGCTTTTCCAAAGGAATTTCTGGACCGATCTGCTGCTGATTGTGTTAAGGGGCTCGGCCTCTACCCACTTGGTGAAGTAATCAATGGCTACCACCAGGTATTCGTAGCCACCTGGAGCTCGGGAAATGGCCCAATAAGTCAATTCCCACTGGAAGAACGGCCACGGGCTACTGAGAGGAATCATTTCTTGAGTGGGAGTGTGATGGACTGGGGCGTTTACTGACAAGACTTACACCGAGCTACCAGTTCGGCCGAGTCTCTGAAAATGGTGGGCCAATAGTATCCGGCCAGCATTCCCTTCTTGGCCAATATTCTTGGGCCAATGTGATTGCCGCAGATGCTTTCATCGCAACTCGCCGCAAGACATAGCTCCCTTCCTCGGGCGTTACACACTTCAGCCAGGGTTGCAAATAGGATTTCCTGTATAAGACTCCCTGTGTGAGCACGTACTTCTGTGACTTGAGGAGGACTTTGCGGGCCTCCACCCTGCTCGGTGGGAGCTCCCTATGAGCCAAGTACCGGACAATGGGATCCATCCACGAGCTCACCACTTGAATAACCGCGGCATTGAACGGTTCATATGCCCGACTTCTGACGACCTCCACCAGTACTCCCCGACCTGAGAAGCCAGTCGAGGTGGAGGCTAGTTTAGATAGGGCGTCGGCTCGCTTGTTCTGGCTCCGCGGAATCTGCTCGAGCGTGAACTGCTCGAACTGACCCCTCAGTTCACATGTTTTGGCCACGTACTTTCTTAGTGACCCTTCTTTGACCTCGTAGGTACCCCCTATTTGGTTCACTATCAGCTGTGAATCACTATAGACTTTTACCGATCTGGCCCCTAACTTCCGGGCCATCTCCATCCCTGCAATCAAGGCCTCGTACTCTGACTCGTTATTAGAGGCTCTGAAATCGAATCTCAGTGCGTAGGGCAGCTCTTCCCCCGTGGGGCTAATAAGGAGGAGACCTGCTCCGCATCCCTCCTTGCTTGACACGCCATCCACGTACAATGTCCAGGTGGGACCTGCTCGTTCCACCGCCTGGGCAGTGTCTCTGGCCAGCTCTGCCTTGACCTCTTTTCAGGATGCATGGCATCGACAGCATCTACGGCCTGCCCGACCTTAGCTGCCTCCTCGGTCTCTCTGACCTTGGCAGTTCCTTGGGTCTGCTCGGCCTCAGCTGCTTCTCCGGCCTGTCTGTCCTCGGCAGCTTCTTTGGCCTGCTGGGCCTCATCTGCTTCTTTGGACAGCCCGTCCTCGGCTACCTGCATGGCCTGAATGACCTCAGCAGCGTCTCCGGCCTGTAAGACCTCTACTGCTTCTTGGGCCTGGGTGGCCTTGGTAGTCTTTAGGGTCTGTAAGGGCTGGGCTGCTTGTCCGGCGTGTGCATTTTTAGCATCTTCTCCATCCTTCCTGGCCTGATCGACCTCCGCTCCGGGTGATCCAAAAGAAACGCCATCCGCTATGAAGTCCGCCAAGGCTTGGGCTTTGATGGCGGTCCTGGGCTGATATCCCAGGTCGTACTCCGACAATTCCACAGCCCACTTCACCATTCGACCCGAGAACTCGGGTTTGGAAAGGATCTGCTTCAGGGGCTGGTCCGTCATGACTACCACGGGGTGAGCTTGGAAGTACGTCCTGAGTTTCCGAGCTGCGTGTACTAATGCCAAAACATATCGCTCTACCCGCCGAGTACCTTGCCTCGGCCCCCTGCAGGGCGCGGCTAACATAATATATGGGTTTCTGCACCTTGTCCTCCTCTCGCACAGCACCGCGCTAATAGTCCCCTCACCCACAGCCAGGTAGATGAACAGGGTCTCCCCCAACTCGGGAGACGTCAAAGCTGGCAACCGAGCGAGGTGGGCTTTCAGCTCATCGAACGCCCTCTGGCACTCCAGACTCCACTCAAACTGTCGACCTCCTTTCAGGGCCTTGAAGAAAGGCGACCCCCGAACTGCCGATTTGGACAGGAACCTGTTCAAGGCTGCCATCCTCCCTGTCAGACGTTGCACCTCCTTAATATTCCGGGATGGAGCCATGTCCATGATAGCCTTGATCTTGTCTGGGTTAGCTCTCACCCCCTCTTTAGAAATCATATAGCCAGGAACTTTCCCGACCTGACCCCAAAAGTACACTTTTTGGGGTTTAGCCGCATACGTGAGCTTCGGAGGACCTCGAAGATTTCCCTCAGGTCGGAGATGAACTGCTCCTGGGTTCGACTTTTCACTAACATATCGTCCACATATACCTCCAGGTTTCGGCCGATCTGATTCTTGAACAACTTGTTTACCAACGCTGGTAGGTCGCGCCTGCGTTTTTTAGCCCAAATGGCATGGTGACGTAACAATATGTTCCCTCCTCAGTGATAAACGAGGTCTTTTCCTGATCCTCCTCATCCAGGACTATCTGATGGTACCCCTTGAAGGCGTCCAAGAACAGAAGATCTCATAGCCAGCTGTTGAGTCCATGAGCTGGTCAATCCGTGGAAGTGGGTAACAGTCATTCGGGCAAGCCTTATTTAAGTCAGTGAAATCCACACACATCCTCCAAGCTTTCACCTCTTTCTTGACTAGCACCGGGTTGGCTAGCCAGGTAGGATAGTAGACTTCCTTAACGATCTTAGCCTCCAGCAACTTACCCACCTCGCTCTTGACGACCTCATTTCGCTCAGGAGCGAAGTTCCTCTTCTTCTGCTTCACAGGTCGGACGTTGGGATCCACATGTAGCCTATGGACTGCCAGTTCGGTGGGGATTCCTGGCATGTCATCAGCACTCCAAGCAAAAATCTCAGCGTATTCCTCCAGGAGAGATTCCAAGGAACTCCTGACCAGCTCGCCCAGGCAGGTACCGACCTTCACCGTGTGCTCGGGTCGGTCGGGCTGAACGGGCAGCTCAGCCAACCCCTCGTCTGTCTCCAATCTTTCCCCTTTCTCCAGGGGCTCCCAGGACTCTAAGCAAATTGTCTGAGCTACCAACTTCTCTTTGCCTTTGAGGGTAGCAATATAACACGCCCTCGCCACCTCCGGATCTCCCAGCACCTCAGCCACCCCAGCAGAAGTAGGAAACTTCATACTGAGGTGCAAGGTGGAGCAAATAGCTCGGAGGGCATTCAGCGTGGGCCGTCCCAGAATTATGTTGTAGGACGATGGTTCCTTGACCACCGCGAAATTTATCGGATCGTTCGGCACTTTGGGGACACCCCCACCGTAACCATGAGAGTGATCATTCCTTCCGGCCTCACAGGAGGACCTGCAAAACCGATCAACGGGGGTTCGAACCGGCATGAGCTGCCTATCCTCCAGCTGCAGCTCCTTGAAGGTCTTGTAATACAGCACGTCTATGGCACTTCCGTTGTCTATGTACACCTTCTTCACCTTGAAATTACAGGTGATGACCTCTATCACGATGGCTTCATGGTTATTGGAGGCCAAAGGGACTGTATCTTCGGGTCCATAGATTATTTCCTCATACATCTTCAATCGCTTGGCCGAGCTCTCCCCCGGGAGGGGGCGATTATGCCGCCGAGCTGTATGGCTATCTCCGCCAGTAGGTCCACCGGCAATAGTGTTAATCACCCCCGCCAGGTTCTGTATTTCCTGCTCTGGAGTTCGGCCACGGGCCCCTGAGGTCGTCCCGGAGGTAGCTCGACGTTCCGACCTGGGCCTTCCTCGTTGCGGTCAGCTCGTTCCTCGTACAAACTGCCCCAGATGGCCTCGTTTGATCAGTTTTTCAATGTCTTTCTTGAGGTGACGGCAGTCCTCCGTATCGTGCCCCACATCTCGATGATAAGCGCAATACAGACCTTGGTCCCGTCTGCTTTTGTCCCCGGCCAAAGGCCGAGGAGGTCGAGAGAGCCCCTCCTGCCTCCATTACTGCGAGCACTCGAGCTCGGGGTGCCGTGAGGCCAGTCCAGGACTTGTCCCCTCCCATTGGGCGGCTCCTGGGGAGGCGGTCATAAGCACTCTTCCTTCCCTGGCCAGGCCGTGCCTCCACCTGGTCGGCGCCCTTCCTGCGCTTGTCATCTCTCAATTTTTCTTGTGCACTCTTAAGGCGATTGGCTTCCTCCGCGTTGGCCTTCTCATGAGCTCGGTCTAGCATCTCCCGGACTGATTTGGGAGGTCGCTCCACGAGCTCAGTGTAGAGCTTCTGTTTCCGTAGCCCGTTAATGAAGGCGGCCATGACCACCTTGTCATCGCGGTCGCGGACCTGGAGGGATTCATTATTGAATCGCACCATGTACTCGCGCAGTGATTCCTCAACCTTTTGTTGAATAGTCATAAGGTGAGCGGTGCTTTTGGAGAAAGCACGTGAGGAAACGAACTGGGCTGAGAACAGTCGCGCGAGCTGGGTGAAAGAACTGATCGACCTAGGGGGAAGTCCCTGGAACCACTGCCGGGCCCTTCCTTCTAGAAACATTGGGAAGGTCTTGCACCTGACCGCATCAGCTGCTGTTTGTAAACGCATCTGCGTCATGAACACGAACAGGTGGTCTTCCGGATCCGTGGTCGCGTCGTAAGGTTTCATGTTTGGAATCTTGAACTTCGCAGGCAGTTGGTATTCCTCGATATCGAGCACAAAGGGGGAAGCAATGTACCTGTCCGCCTCAGGGTCCAGAAGTAGGTCCAGTTCGTCCTGCACCTGTTGTCGTTCTCTCCGAGAGAGAGAGGTCTCCCCTGGAGAGCCTCCGGACGGGCTCCGGGTGTTCAGTTCGGGAATTCTTGTGAGAAGGTTCTACGACCTCGACTTGCTCACGCGTGACTTCCCGGCGCGCCCGCTTGGCCCCAGTTCTGGCAGGACTCCCAGTTTGGGATTCTGACTGATCTGCTCCCTGAATCTTTGGCTCCTTGTCCTGATGACCTTCCGACTGCACTTTGAGGTAGTTCATGATCGCCTCGAAGGTGGGCAGGTTTTCTGCCACCGTCTGAACCAGTTGTTCAGGCGGAATTCGTGAGGCCCTGCCCCTCCTTCTCCGGGTGTCGGACCCCGAGGGGGGCTTTGGGGCCACTTAGCTCGGTCCCCTTGGATCCACCAGCTTTCCTCTGCGACCTAGTTTTCGGCATGTTTTTCGCGAAAAGAGAAAAAGAGAATACGTGTTCCCACAGACGGCGCCAATTGATGCGACCGCCAAAAACCAGATCCGAGCTGAGCTGTGGTAAGCCTGGCTGTCCGGTGCTGCCGACCTGAGGGGGCGAACCGAGCTACGGGCCTGTAAAGAGAGAAACAGAGAGGGACTAAGGTCCCCGGAATAGCTCCGACGGTCAAGTCAGTCTTGCCTCAGAGTAGAGTAATAGTAATAGATACTTGTGTGCGTACCTTACGTAGTCTTGGTAGCGTGATATATATAGGACCGGTGAGTTATAGTTTCCTTATGGGAGTCAAAGCCCCCTTAGGGTTTGGAGTCTTCCTAGGGTTTTATGCGGCAGCCCCTAAATGTTCGGAGACGGCGGCCCATCAAGCCCACCACAGGAGGCCCCTGACACGGCCGAGCTGCTCCCTCATGCCGAGCTGGCCCGTGCCAGCCTCGAGAGATCTACCGCCGACCTGCTGCGTGCAGTATGCCGATCTGACACGTGTCATACGTGGATTTGCCCCACTACAAGAACTTTAATAATTATCTTCCATTAGATACGATCCTACAACAATGAGGTGTATTCTTCATTCCAAATGTCATTGTGCGCAGCAATAGAGGCTCTATGGCATCTATTTTCGATAGCAACGTGGCCCAAGAGGTATGGGAATATTTCAATGATATATTTGGAGTCCCATATAGGAGACATTCATGCTTGAGTACGGTAATCATGCACTGGATGTTGTCATTACCTAAGGGTCACCCACGACATGTCAGAAATTTAGTGCTATTGCTAGTATTATGTTTATTTGCATAGTCGTAACGCGGCAAGGTTTGAGGATGGAGTAATGGAACCAGGAGATGTTGTCGAAGAGGTGATGTGGAGTCTAAAGCGGAGGGTCGGCCAATATGATCACAAGGGAACAGCTGAAGGGGGACTTTGATTCGATCATGGCTCATTTCTTCAAGTGTCATCCTAATACAAAGTCTACATTATGTGAAATGGAAGGCGCCTAGTATTGGGATGCTGAAGGTAAATACTGACACTAGCGTGCTTAATGATAGCAGCCGGAGAGGGATTATTCGGGATAGTCGAGGTCATCACGGCCTATTATAAGGAATTAGGAGAGATGCAAGTTCTGGAGGCAGAGGCACGGGCTTTAATTCTCAGCTTAGAATTATGTGTGCAACTGGGGCTATCTAGGATTCAGGCAGAGGTGGATTCAAGGCTATTGTATTAGTTGGTTGTAATGAATGGTGCGGCAAGGTGGCCCCTATGCAATGTCATTCGTTGAATCCAGTCCGTTCTCTAGAGTCTTCATGGCATCGTTGGAGTGTATTTATAAAGAAGCCAATGCAGCGGCGAAATTCTTTAGCTGGCCGGTGGCGTGGTGGCTCATGTTTTTGGGTCTTTGTTGTAACTACCCAAGGTTACTCAAAACTTGGTCCATTTGGACAACTCTGTTTGCGTAGCTGTGAGAGCTGTTATTGTAAGGGAGTAGTACTCCTTATTTATAGCTTTCCCATGTACCAAGCAACAATTCAGATTTTGTTGATTAATAGAATTTAAATAAATAAAAAAGCCTTTAAAAACAAGCTTTCAAATCTATCCAAAAAATCTGACAGATTAGGAAACTAGTTTTCCAAAATTAAGAAACATATGTGATGTGATTAGGCTTTGAGTTATAAATTCACTAATTATATTCCAATTTAGCCCAATATCCTCAATTTTTTCGTAAGTATACGAATCGTTTGATTGAATTAGTGATAACTAGAGGTTGATCCCAAAGGGATTTCTCTACCAATTACCAAGAACCTTAGCTTACTTCTATTAACTAACTCAAGAAGAATTATAATCAAACAAGACTACAATTAGACTAGTTCAATGCAAATAAAGATGATAACTAGAAGAAACTCAACTAAACACAAGTGTTCTAAGGAATATAATCCACTACTCACACCCAACTATGAAAGAAATAATCAACCATTGCCAAGTTATTGTCTTGCTAAGGATGCATTTCACTAAAACTATTGGAACTTGCTTTCCCTAATGAACCAAACTTAGCCTCATACTCAAGTTTCCCTACTTTTCCGTGAAATCTCAAGTATAGACTTAATCGAGAGCAAGAAATGTAACAAACATCCACCTAAGTATATCACTACTTTCGTGTGTCTACCTTTAAGTATCATTTACTCCTTTTCCATCATTGTCAACTATTCTCATAGATTGACAACAACTAAAATAACTTGTAAATAGTGATCAATCACTCACAAGAGTTAAAGCAAGATTAGATGAACCAGCAAGAACAAAATATAGCAACAATCAATAACATTAAACCATAGTTACGGCATAAATACCTTCATCTACCCCTAGAATAGATAGATCTAGCTAGACAAAGTCAACATGACCACCCAGCTCCATTCCTTGAAGTAACCAAACATCATTCAAGCTAAGAGAGTTAAAGGGGAGAGATGCTTATTCAATAGAAGAAACAAGATTTCCAATCTTCATCTAGTTCATTGCCATCAAAATGTTGGATTACATCAAGTGTTTTTCCGAGTTTCTTCAATAAAAAGAAGGTTAGTCCTCTTCTCCTTAAGAGAAAAACTTGGAATATGAAAAAACTACTTTAACTATGTCTAACTATGCTAATGAGTGATTGTGTGTGTCCTTTTGTTCTCTACGGCCCCATTTGGCAAGTGAGTTTTTTAAGTGTTTGTCTAAAATTTTATTGTAACTTACTGTAGAAGTTGTAGAAAAAATTTTGAAGTGTATAAATTTTTGTATATTTTGAAGTGTATAGTTTAAAAACTTTGAGAAATTTTTTGAGGTTAAGGTAGTTAAAGTTATTAAAAAACTTGTAGCAGACAAATTTGGCCAAAAACTTGCTTGCCAAACAAGGCCTACTTTTTCCTCCACAAAATGTGCTTCTTGGAATTCACCGATTTGCTTGTCATAGTCTCCATAGTACAAAGAACAGCTATCTAGCCGAAATTCTCTGTGAGAGATGAGTAAAAAAAAAGGTGTGAAATGTCCACAAGTTGCACAGCCGCAATTGTGATCCGAGTCCACAATCCAAGGTCGGATCGGTGAAGGAACCCCTCGGATCTCATTTCCTGCATTTTTTATTTTCACTACACTACAGAATCCAAGGCCTAAAGTAGATGGATTCGAGCTCGAATCCTCCTCTCAGATAAGTCCTCTGATATCGAAAAATAAAAATACGTAAAATAAACATGCTAAAATACACACTTAAACATAGCAACTAAATCAAAAGACTTTTTAAGGAAAGCTGCTAGGTTTACTTCGAGAAACCCTTTTACTAAGTATTCCCTTCCTTTTTATTTTAATAAATACATATACATACACAAATAGATATACTATGCAATAAACCAATTTTATATACATATACATTAATTTACATATACATTTAGAAATCACATATCATTAATTTAAAGATAGAAAAATATTTCTCTAGAATGATTAAACCATAATTCTTTAAGAAATCACTTTTGTAGCTGTTGAGAAAATATTTTAGTTGATCCCTAAAAGTATTTTTTATCTCTAGAAAAATCACAACTATAATAAGTTCTTCATTTTTTATTAATTAAAATCACACATGCTATTTCTTTGAAACAATAATCTATAACTTTCCCTAACAAAATCAGATACATTTTGTTTTTAAAGAAACAAACCAATTCATTGTGTCAAATAAAACTATTTGGCTAAGATACATTTATGTAAAATAACGTTACTTATTTTATTAAGAGTTAGCTTCCTCTAAAATATTTTACTATTTAATAAAGTCACATCCTTTATTCTTTTCTTTATGAAAACCATAATTTATTTTGATTACATTTCTTTCAAATAAAAATCATTATTATAATTATCACTATTCAAAGTTAACAATCCTTACTAAAGGTCTAGAAAATTGTAGGTTACTATATTGGTTGTCTTGCAATTTAGAGATGAGTAATAGAGGAGTTTTGTTTCTCGAAAGAGCTGGTTAGGGCTCCTAACAAAGCTTCTATTCATCCAAAATTAGGTTAATTGATAGCTCGATTGCTACAAATTGTAAGTTTCAATGGCTACTTTTTCTCCTGGGCCAGCTAAGGATGTGCTGAAGATGAAGTTCATTATTAGAATGGATGTTTCGCAACTCCAACCTGAAAGACTGACTCAGGTTGATGCTATGCCTAAGGGGCAGATTGCTATCCTTTGAGAAACTACTGAAAAATCCTTGTGGGCTGATATAGTGAGAGTAAAAAAATTGTTTCACAATACATTAGAGCTATCTTACTTGCCAAATGAGATGGATTATGTAGCTATGGTTGGTTTTGTCTTGGGCAGGTCCTCTCTTATCAGGTGATGAAAAGAATTTGTGAGCAACAATAGCAAAAGTTT